ATTCACGAGTGGTCCAGACCTGTCGTATATTTTACGAGAAGTCAGTCTGCTGTCATCCAGACGGGTTTTCTTCATTAATAACTTTATATTTCGTTAGTTTGAAGATATTTAGAGTTGGAAATAAATCACACTCCATAATTATGTTGACAATGGGCTATTCTGCTTGAATTAGAGTTATAATTWTAAATGTAATAATTTAGACTCACAATATAAATTCTACGTCCGGCCGGCTTATCCATGATCGGGTCGCGGGGGCAGCAGGAGACCCCGCTCTCCCCAGCGACACTTTCCAGCTCGTCCTGGGGGACTCCGAGATGTTCCCAGGCCAGAGGGGATACATAATCCCTCCAGCGAGTCCTGGGTTTTCTCCAAAGTGCCAGACATATTTTGAAATCATTTTAAAATGCTGGTGAGCAGCGCTGCAGCTTCTGAACAAATGAAAATGATTTAACACAGTTGTTTATACTTTTAGCAGCTCTTTTTATTCCACAGCTGACCTGCTAAAAATGACAGATTTTCTTTTCTGGATCTCTGACAGACGGACTTCAATCTCTGAACTCGTAAAGTTTTTATTTTTAGTTTTCGCTGTCATTTTCATGAATGAACACTTCCTTGTATCTGAGGCAGGAAACATAGCCTAATATGGTGTTTTTGGGGTGGTAATTATGCTAATCTCCTCTCGTGTGCACGAGCAGCTGGATAGAACAGGTGGAATTTACGCAGCTCATTTACACACTTTTCCTGAAGATAGAAGWGTTTGTTGAATCTGACGTGACATGTTCGTACGAACGCTTCGTACGAACAAAAGTAAGAGACATTTAGGATAAGAATACGAACATGTTCTTGCATGAGGCCCATTGTATTCCTTTTAATGGCCAGCAATTATCTTGTCAAAAACTGCCAAAAACAAAAAAACAAGAAGGAGATGTAAAACAGTGCGACAATAGTTACTGACAACATGGCTTCAGCCAGTTCTGCTGAGGATTCAGGATATTTTACACTACCAAGCATCACTTTGTGTTTGACAATGAGCTCAAAAAGGTGAAGTGAGGGTAATGTTCGGAGCCTAATTTAATATCTCGACGAGCGTGCCTGTCACATGGTTGGGTTTCCACTACCCTGGTAACAAATTCAATTATCTACTTTTTGCACAGCACATCTTACCAACGGACCTAATCTGCTGATGCCTGTGCTCACGTCGTTGAATCAGACTGTGTGTTTCTGTAACTTTATTAGGAATGATACAATCTGCGTCTCAAAGCAGCGGTAACCAGTGCAGAAGCAGCTGAAACGTCACGTTGAAATTAATGATACAATGCTYGTATCATTAATCTGTTCGGTACAGTGCAGTTAGGCTAACGTRATTGGAAATCTAAAAAAAGATAGTGGGTCAAAGGTTTAAAATGATCCAGCTGACTCCAGCCAAAACAAATCACATTTACTACATTACTTTATCTGAAATTAAAGCAGAGGTCAGACAACTTAGCACCAAGTCGGGTCGAATTAGGACAAAGTGAGTTGTGCTGAGACTGGACATTGGAAAAATGGCATACTTAATCACAACACCTGTATTTTGACATCGTAAGCATCGTGAACTTTATATCTTTCATGTCCTGATGCATCTCAGTAAAAGAGACTTCTTCAGTCTGAAGAGTTACAGGTAAACTAAGCCTTATATACAGTACTTTCACAGGGTGGATAAACTGTTCACATGCAAAAGAGGACCATCAACCTAACAACTGACCATTAGGGCCCTGATTATCGACTTTTGTTCACAGGGGGCTGAGTCATACTTGCAATAACAGCACTGTAAGATGGGGACAACTGGACATGAAGGCCTCCACCCCGGTTTAATGGCGGAGGTTTTTTTTTTCCAGAAAATGGCTTTGTTTACTCCTTTCTCAAACAAACGTTCCTCTCTATCATGGTTGAGAACATCTTCATCCCTGAAAGAGTGACCACTGGCCTGTAGATGAGTGTAGACTGCAGAGTAGAGAGACCTGATGATGTTGCTCTTCTGTGCTGGGCCATCATTTTGGCCAGCATCTGCTTTATTTCCCTGATGTTTACCTGTTCACAGTCCTCCTGGCACTTAGCATACACCACATTACTCTGTTTGTGCGGGGGATCAGATCTTTGGGGTGAACTGGTCTTTGACATAATGTGTTTTATGGTTTAAGAGCCACTGGGATGTCATGTTTAGAGAATAATCTTCTCAGATTATCTGAAACTCCCGCAACTGGTCTGGGTCTGGGGTCCTCATTTTCATCTGGTGGCTGGCTGGAGTCTTGTTTGGGTTTCTTGCCTGATTTGAAGAAAGCCCAGTTGGGATAACCACATTGCTTTAGGGCCTGTCTTGTGTGGGATTTCTCCTTCTCACTGGCTGTGGGGGACACTGTCTGCTCTGTGGTACAAAGTCCTGATGACTCCTAACTTGTGCTCCAGTGGMTGGAAGGACAAGCACATTGTTCTCTGTCAATAAATGGTGACAATCAGGGCCCCAATGATCAGTTGTTAGATTGATGGAACAAACAGTTTTGATTGTCATCGTTAAACTTGTTTGTCCACCATGTGGAGGCACTTTTATAAGGCTGCGTTTACCTTCAAGTCATCTCTTAACCAAGAGACAAAATGCTTAAAACAAAGAACTTGTCCAGAGGATCTATTCAACTTTTTTTTGATTATCTTTTTCTTGTTTTGAATTTTAGATTATTTAAAACTAATTGTGAAACCCCTAAATGCAGTCTAATTTTTCTATGAGCCCACATCCGAGCCAACTGTAGACTGATTATAAATGCATAACTTTTCTTTGTTCTAGAGAAAAAGTGAAGTCTGTCCTCCAGCTGGCCTGAATGTGCAATAAAACATCTACATTTGTGCAATATTGACAAAACACTCCAATGACTTTCACAAAAGCAACAGGATAAAATGAGTCAGGATGTATAAACACAGTTCTAATTTAAATGCTTACTGAACCTCATAATATCAGAGGCTGTTAAACCCTAACAGCAATTAATGCCCGATCTTTCATTCWTTATTCTATTTTATATGAAGTTTTTGAAACCAGGAGTCTGACAAAGATTTTCAAAGAGTGAAATGCTAACCACATCAGTTTCTCATGGTTCAAAAGAGATTTTCCATAGAAAGATCAGAGAGTGGGATTCATCAAAGGAAAGAAGGGAAACTGACTGCATGGTTATGAAATTTAAGCATAAGCAGTCCTGGCATTTGCAGAACCTTTAGATATTGCATAACACAGGTGGACTAACAAGAGTGCAGGCCWAAAACTTTACACATACTGAGCAAGTGAAGAATTGTTGCAAAGAAAACGTTGCTTTTTTGATTGAATGTCTGGATGTTRTTTTTAATGCTTTGGTGTAAAGATTATTGATACTACTGAGTTAAAAAAATATATCGACAGGTTCCAGATAGGAYAAGAAATATCTTCATTTATAGATTAGAAGTCCAGTTGCTTTTTTGTCCCCTGTTGCCGAGGCGGGGGACTTAAAAATGCTCTCCGTCCGTCCGTCCGTTACATTTTCAGAAAGCTGTGACTTTCACATAGTTAGCTATGGTCGATCCTAATCCACCCCACTACAGAAATGCAGTWCAATTTTTGGGGGGCGTGGCTTAATTACAAATCTCGCCGCTGACATTCATTTGGGTCTAAATTCTACGTGTCAGCCAATCTGCACCGAATTCACTATGGTCAATCCTAATCCAACCCATTACAGGAATGCAGTCAATTTTTGGGTGGCATGGCTTATTTCCTCCACAGCACCCACTACAATTATTTAAAAAAATTAGCCCCAACTCATGCTTGAACCTGGAATCATGAAATTTGGTACACATGTGTAACATCTCAGGACCTAAAAAAGTCTTGGAGTCATGGTCCCACTTTGCACATAATTGGCTATAAATTACAAATACATTATCCAATCTGCACACAGTTTTGTGTGTGTCATTAGGGAAACCAGCTAAACACATTGCTTTATTAGTTTGACAATATCACTTTAGCCCTATCCACTTTGCACATGATTGMCTCTAAATCACACATACATGGTCCAATCTGAAACAAATGTTGTGTGCATCAAAAAGGAGACCTGTTCAACACTTTTGTGTAGTAGTTTGAAAAGATCATTTTAGCCCCCSTTCCATCTATTCACCTAATGAGATTATTTGAATAATGAAGGCCTGATGATTCCAACAAAACTGTTAACGGCTGGTCACTATTGAATGTCAACGGAGGACATCAGCAACGGTTGGTGTCAAGTTTTATCTTGTTTCTTTTACTTTTGTGGATTTACCTAGGGTTACCTCTGTTTCAGAGTCACAATGGATAGTAGTCACCATCCATCCATCCATCCACCCACCCACCACCCTCAAGGTAACAGTTCCAAGAAGGAAATCCAGACATCTTTGTCCCAAGCAACATTCCATAGTTCTTCCTGGTCTAACCAAAAATGGTCCCAGGCTAGAGGGGTTACATAATCCCCACCACCCCAGTGATTTCTGTATCTGGCTTAGGGTCTCCTTTCAGTAGGTACCCTGCCAGGAAAAACCTGCACTGTAAGGTGTCCAGGAAGCATCCTGATCAGATGCCCAAACATAAGCTGACTCCTTTGGGTGTGGCGGAGCAGTGGATCTGATATAAAGTTCCTCACCTCCACTCTGTGACTGAAGCTCATTTCAGCTGAGATTTTTTTTGTCATGATTCATATTTCTGGGTCTATAGGCTAGGGTTGGTCAAATCTAGGATCATAGGTTAAAGTTTTGGTTGAGAATCATGGTATCAAACCAGAAGACTGACCATGATGCCAAATATTATCCACGTGATACAGTAAGTTTCAAAAAGACTATAGTTACGGTGGTGATAAAGTCATGCTGCTTACGAATTTAGAAAGATCAACAAAAAGAATGATTGGCAGACATCAGCAGTGAGCACAAAATGCATGGTGAATACAGTTAGTCATAGCTCATCTGTGTCGTGGCTCCCTCACCATGTGATAAGACCTGCAGCGACAGCCGACCAGGTGACACAGCACGAGTTGGGCTTCTTGCTTTCCTCCTCTTCGTCTTTGCTGCAGCAGCACAAACAGCTCAGGTAGATGGCCAAACATAAAAGGTTGAGGCCAAGGCCAGCAGCTGCCACACATCCCAGGAATATGAGTGACTACAGAGGGAGAGAAGGAAAGAGAAATGATTTGCCTCGTGTTTAGACGTACAGATTTAACAATCACACAAAGAAATGACAAGTATCTCTTGCTCTACTAAAAGCACCGTGGTCTCCTTACTTCACATAAAGTCCTGTGTTCATGCTAAAAACAGAGTCAAGTTTTGTTTTACTACAAAGGAGACTTTGATCTGTTAAATAATTGCATTGTCACCAAGCTCAAAAACTGTGTCCCAGTTCGACCCACCGAGGTCACACCCTTCGCAGACCAAGTAGGCTGCATAAAACCTCTGTGAAATGAGACAGTCTAGTCATTGAATGATGTATGTTTGCATGACCACGAGTTACCCTGTTATCATGATGATTCATTTTACATCACGCTCCTTCTGACTTGGTCATTTATTCACAGGTCTTTTCACTGGAGCAATAATTTCACAGTTGAAATGTTACACGTAAATAAATATTAAACGTTAATAATTTGGGTTTAGCACCAGTATCCGTACCTGTAATCGCATTGGATGTAACATCTCATTGCAGCATAACTTTCATTGCTTAAGTTGCTAAACACATTTAAAAGCAAATTCTTCGACTCGTGTTGGACTTCCAAACTACACTGACTTGGTAAAAAAATTATCCTGTTTAGTTTGCTGTTGACACAATGAATCTTTAAATGTCCTCGGCCCGGGAGGATACTCTTTAGCCTTCCTTTTTTAGGGTTTTCTGGGCCGCATTCATCGGCCGCATGAGAAATAGTCCACGGATTGGGGCAGCCTTCGGCATGGGGCAGTGATGAAACAAATGCGGACTTCGGAGGACGCAGCCCCTGAGCTGAAACACAGCCAAAGTCATTAACTATTATTTAAAATATTGGTGTCATATTGAATTTACAAGCAGCTAAAACTATTCAAGATTAAACTATTTCACAGAAAAGGTTCATCTCCTCACATGGACTCATGACAGACTATCCCCGTCAAGAGCCATATATTAAAAACTGTCTCCAAAAGTCCTTTTTGTTGTAATAAATAGCAAAATAAAAATATTTCTTCTCTACAAACAGGCTCTCTGCTGAGATCATTATGAAACCATAGTGTTCTGGGACTCCAAACAAACAAGTTTCTCTAAACAGTTACTGTGATTAATGAGTAATAAAAGACATCAAAGCCGATGATTATGTGTGCACCAGCGCTGGTAACAAGGCCAGATGCATCCTGGGAGCATGTCTCCAGCTAGAGATCAGACACCTCCTCATACATTCACTCCTCTCCCCATTTTTCTATTAGCCCCATCCCACCTTCTGCGAAAAGATGGAGTGGGATGACAAAAATAGCAACAAGACTGTTGTAACGGCCTCAAATGAATTCTGCATCCATCTGTGAGCAGATGGGTTGGTTCCAGCTCGGGACCTTTTGTTTTTTCTTCACACTTCTTCCTTTCAGGTTCGTCTGAAATCTTTCTGGAGCTGTGCCATCTGCTCTTTGAATGGGATGTCATGTTTCCTGCATGTCAAGTGGAAGGATTAAAAGGCAGAAATGAATAGAATCTGTGAGACTATGTCAACAGTTTATACAAAGTGCCAAGTAAACTGCAAATTGAAATATCCTCCAGGAGGCTAAAGTGGTGCAAATGATCTGATATACATCTGTAAAGTGCAAATTATATTATAAAAGCATTGTTACAGAAGGCGTATTTGCGATAGGAAATGTGTTTTATTCACTCAAAATATGTTTTTATTTCCCATCTTCCCAGCTAGCAGAAATGGATTGCAAATAAAACCATTGTGCAAAAGAAGCTCAAAGCCTATTGATATTTTGAAAACATCTCCCTTTTACCAATTCAAAGATATAAAAGTATTTAGGAAAAAAGACAGCAAACCTCGCTAAACATTAAAAAAAACATGTACCATTAACATTTTTCGCAATTTAAAAATCTGTTCATCCATTTACTCAAATAAATGTCTCCTTTAAGTTCTCTCCACAGCATTTCTTTGGAATTAAAGTCAGATTGATTTGGTCATTCCATTTATTCTTCTCTTTGCAGCCCTGACATGCACGCTGTGGGTAGTCAGCCTTCTCCTGATGGTGGGCTCATGAACAATAACACCAGTCAATGTGTGAAAGGCTTTTGGTCTCATAGAAATGACCCTAGATTCTTTTGAGACTTTCAAATCTATTACACACGTCGCTCTTAGACAACATCGACCATGACGTTTTATTTTAGTAAAACCTGCCTGACTGAGGTTTGTTGGAGCCTAAAGTCTTTGAAAATGGTTTTGTAACCATTTTCAATCCTAAATAASACAAACAACTCTTGCTCTGATTTCTTCAATACATTTTGTTCATGACATTAACTTTTATAGTGTGTTAAAAAGGTCAGGCTTTAATAGTTTCCCAACAGGGGCCTTCAACTGACTGAAAGAAGGGTAGCACCCTGCCTCATTTTGTGTCTGGGTTTGGTTTAACTGATGAGAGTTGGAACAAGTTTGGTGGAACTGAAGCAGGCTTAGTGAATGAGAAGGCGATCTGGGGCTCAGGTGGATAATAAGTGTGTTGGGCGAGGAGGGGGATGGGTGGGAGACGGTCTTAGATTGTATGAATGAGGAGAACGCAAGAGGGGGGAGAAATCCTGCAGCGCACACAAACACTGGAGCCCCCCTCCCAAAAGCTGCTCTTATCATCATGGAAACACGCAGGTTATTTGGTGTCCTTGCGACGAGGACGGATGACGAGTGAAAGGGCGAATTATCACAGCCTACTTGAATTAGGCAGCATGTGACAGGCTCGTTTAAATCACAGTGCCTCTGTCTTGTGATTCGTCTGCAGCCGGGCAGTACAGATTAGGGAGGGAACGGGGCAGAATGAGGATAACCAGCGAGGACAGTAGTTCACATTTGAGAAGCCTGGCTGGAAAAGCTGGGGGCAACCGTAAAAAGGAAAAGCTTTATGTTTACGTGTTGTTTTGTGTTGTTTAGTAAATTAAATTTGACCTTATTAAAGTATTAACAGTTATAAACGCAACAATTTTTCTGTCCCTTTCTGGTTTTCTGTCTTCTGAGTGGCACGGCACAAAAATAAAGGCTTCTGAATTATGGAGAACCCATTCAGTGAAAGACTGAACACACACACACACACACACACACACACACACACACAC